CCCCTTCCCCGCCGCGGGGCTGTGCGCGGTGGCGGCGGGCATCGCCGGGGGTGCGCGGAGCGCGGAGCGGAGCCCGGCGCCGCCTCCATGTTCCAGCTGCCCATCCTCAATTTCAGCCCGCAGCAGGTGGCCGGGGTATGCGAGACCCTGGAGGAGAGCGGGGACATCGAGCGCCTGGGGCGCTTCCTCTGGTCCCTGCCCGTGGCCCCCGCGGCCTGCGAGGCGCTCAACAAGAACGAGTCGGTGCTGAGAGCCCGGGCCATCGTGGCCTTCCACACGGGGAACTACCGGGAGCTCTACCACATCCTGGAGAACCACAAGTTCACCAAGGAGTCCCACGCCAAACTGCAAGCCCTGTGGCTGGAAGCGCACTACCAGGAGGCGGAGAAGCTGAGGGGCCGACCCCTGGGGCCGGTGGACAAGTACCGCGTGAGGAAGAAGTTCCCGCTGCCCCGCACCATCTGGGACGGCGAGCAGAAGACACATTGCTTCAAGGAGCGGACGAGGCATTTGCTGCGGGAGTGGTACCTGCAGGACCCTTACCCCAACCCCAGCAAAAAGCGGGAACTGGCTCAGGCCACGGGACTTACCCCCACGCAAGTGGGCAACTGGTTCAAAAACCGCAGGCAAAGGGACAGGGCAGCAGCCGCTAAGAACAGGTAAGGTGCTGCCCGTCCCGTCGGGACACAGGTTCCCCCTTCGCGAGGCTTCGCGCCTGCCCGCCGAGGCCGGAGGCTGCTGGGAGGCGGTGCGAGACTGCGGCAGAGGATGGGGGAAAAGAACCCGGGAGRTTTCTCCTCGGGAAATGCAGCGAGATAAAACAGGAGCAGCGGGAAAACACTAAGGGTTTTTAATCACCGTTTTAATAGGGGAGGATACCCGCTCTGGGCTGCCTCTTGGCTGCTCTGTGGGGTAGCGGGAGAAGGGCTGCCTGGAGCCACCGGCTGGAGCTGGCGGCAGAAGGGCCGTGTTTGGGGGTTGAGCAGAGACAAACCCCCTTCAAAGTTTTGCCCGGATATTTAAATACCCATTTGAGATATGTCCATCCTGAGCAGAGCCGGCCATGCCCTCTGCGGGCCCTGCCAGAGCCGTCTTGCCCTGTTTCTTCACCGGAGCCATCTGGAAATATTTCTTGGGCTATTGTTCTTATTTCTATTACATATATATATATATATATATATATATATATATATATATAAAATAGAAATAAAACATAAATATATATATAAATTTAAAATAATACGTTAGAGAACAAAATCACGGCTCTAAACAAGCAGTGTTATCCCAATGCTAGTGACACAAGCAGATGCTCCGGGAAGCAGGGGCGGGARCAGAGTTCCTCCCTTATCTCCTCTCCAGGATCTCGGGGCAGGGGAAATTTCTTTCGCCACCCCTCAACCTGGCTGTCGCAAGTTGGGGACGTGGGTGCTGTCACCCGGAGCCCCTTTTTATCGGCTGAGGGAAGATGTAAGGCCTACTGGAGGGGAGAGGCCGCCCGGGAGCTGCTGCAGGGAATTACTGACCCCTAAGATGAGACCCGGTTTGGGGGCAGGCTGAGGAGGAGGGGGACAACCTTCCCCGGGTTGTGCCAGCCGAAGAGCGGGGCTGACCCTGGGCTGGGCACCTATTTTGTCAGACAGAGCTGAGGAACTGGGTGCCCAGCCAGATTCCCCTCTCTCCTATCGCTGGTCTAACTGGGGAAAGCTGGAGATCGGGAGCAGCGGCGTGGGGGTGACCGTCGGGGGAGCCCCTGGGGGGGACACAGGGGGCTGTCGGCGGGTGCCGGGGTGCGGAGGGCGGSCGGTGATGCTGTGTGTGCCGGTTCCTTGCAGGCTACAGCAGCAGGTCCTAACGCAGGGCTCGGTGCGCTCGCTGCAAGCGGAGGAGGAGAGCGGCGGGGAGGCGGTGGGAGCCGCCTCCAGCCCCGCAGCCAGCCTCTCCAGCAAAGCGGCCACCTCCGCCATCTCCATCACATCCAGCGACAGTGAATGTGACATCTGACACCACCGCCATGGCAAACCGGGGGGAGCGGGAGGCCCGGCTCACCGGTGCCTGCCGACACGGCCGGAGCAGCGGGGCTGGCAGTGCCCGAACGCGGGGTACGGGGCGCTCCCCGCCCGCCCGCGCCTCCCTCCCAGCCCCGCAGCAGACTGCATTCAAAAACCGTCATCAAAATCGTTGTCGCCTTTATTTCAAAGGATTTGCAGAAATGATGTCTGAAAAGAAATAATTAAAGAAGGCCCAGAAAACGTAAAAAGAAAAAAAAAATCAAAAAACCGAATGCCAAGTTGCAAAATGTCTGAGCGCCTGCCCTTAYCCCGCGGGGTTGTTTCATGTTGAAAAGACGCTGTTCTTTTGGTTGCGTTTTGCTTTACTTTAAAGGGTTTTWTATATATATATATAATGTTTATTTACTTATTTAAGGGATTGCTATGGTAGATTTTTTCTATTATTATTATTAATTATTATTATTTTTGGCTTGTTCTCTATGTGCACAGGTGACTTGTAGAGCATGTGCAGGACGAAACTGTATGAAGCAGCCTAAAACCATAATAAAATATTTGGTGAACGACCCTCGCATCTGCTTTGAAATGATGGTGTCGGTCTCAAGCCCGCCAGTTTACGCAGAGCAGATCTCCGAGGCCACGGGTATTTCAGCAGCAGCTCGGCAGGAACCGAACTAGAGGGTCCCCGGAACCGGGGGTGATGTCTTTGCGGGGCAGGGAGACGGGAGGAGCCGGGATGAGGCGAGAGGAACGGGAACAGGGCTGGCGGGGGATGCGGGTTCCCAAGGAAGGGAAAGAGGTGGCATGGCCGCAGCTTCTTCTCTCCCGAGGGCTGAAGCTTTGGGGATTATCGGAGGCGAATTTTCTGACAGGGGCGAGGAAAGAAAAAGAAAACAAAATCATTAAGGAGAGAATTGGTTGGGGTACAGCCCAACCGGGGAAACTAAGCTTCCTCCCTCACCTGGCAAAGGCAAGGAGAAGATGGAGAATTAACAGCTCTCCATGCCAGCGAAAGGCCATAACGGGGGCGAAATTACCCCAAATCGCGACCCCTGCGATGTGCCAGGGGCTGTCCCCACCATCCGCCTCCCTCGCTTTGTTTTGCGGCGGTTTTGCCGGAGGAGACCAAACGCCAGGTCCAAGGAGCGTGCTAAGCTTTTTTCCCCAGCAGAAGGATTTTATATTATACAATTTGACATTGATCTTTAAATCGCCTGAGCTGTGCTTTTTTTGTCTTCTCGGTCTCATCGCGTTTACTTCCCTGTCCTCAGAGAGATGCCTCCGCGGTAAGCTGATTGCTCGGCTCGTTTTATTTAGCAGCCGAAGCCTGGCACCGGGGAAGTGCCCCGGTTCCCGCTCGGCTCCGGCTGCCGGCGAGGGCAGTTTAATTCAGTCCCTCTGCCTTTTATCGGGAGGTGTATTCCCGTCTCGACGGTGACTTTTCCCCCTCTAAGTTTGAATTTAAAACCTGAATTCWAGGCGTTTACACTGCCGATGCCTAAATCTGCGTTCCACCCCCAAATGCACGCGCCCTGGTTTTCCTTATAGACTGTTCCAGGGATGGGGCAGGTAGCAGGAATTTTTTAGCTGTTTTTTTCAAGTCGCTTTAGAAGCAGTTATTTCCGTGGCGTAGTGTAATGAGCAAATAATCTGCATTTTAGGAGTACGGAAGGGTCAGATCGCAGGGAGGAGAGGGGATGAAGAGTGGGAGTCTCCACCTGCCTTTGGGGTACCCACCTACGGCAGGGTCCGGAGCTCACTTTGCACCCCAAACCCCGAGGTTTATTGCTTCCAAAACCCCACCGGATTTAAGCCGTGCAAAAAGAGCCCGGCTTTGCTGTTTAAGCGTCARACGAGGTTGGGGTTTTACCTTGGTTTTGGGGTTCGCTGATGGGCAGCGCTTCCCACTCACGAGGTTGTTTTGAGAGCAAAAGCAGTGTTTGCCCTCAAAACGGAATCTGCTGAAACGCATCGTGTTCTTTCATTATCTTTTTTCTTCCCCGGGAATCGGTGAATCGGATTGCAATTTCTCCATCGGCTTCTGCGGGTAGAGTAGCAGCGCTTATTGTGGGGAATTAAAGCTTTCGGAAAGACATAAAGAGAGCGGAGAGCACATGCGCTCAGCGTCCGGTAACGCGGGATTTCTTTCCAACTTAAAAAAAAAAATAAAAAAAAAACTGGAATTTGGATTATAGGCAGCGGAGATAATGTTGTGTCTTTCGACAAAGSGTTTGAGTGTCATGAAGGACGCGGCATCTCCCGAGCGGGTAGTGGAGGGACCCTCCCGCGGATGCTGGCGGCGAGAGCACAAACCAGCCCCTTCTGAGAGAGTGGCCGGGGCGGGGAAAGGAGCACGGAGCCCTCGTGGGAAGAGCAGCCCCGCTGCTCGGCCTTGCTTGCTGCGGGAGAACGGGAGAACCGAGCGTCTCCCAGCTCCGCTTCTTCCCCGCCGGAGCTCCGCAGGGCCCGGGGCGGTGGGGCTGCGCCGGCCCCTTTGGTTCGACCGATAGGACCCAAAGGAAAAAACCGCGGTTTTCTGCCCCGCCCTCCTTTCTTTTTTTTCTACTGCCCTTTCCCTTCCCTTATCGAAAGTGAATTCCCTTCCCCTGCCATTTTCAGCATTTTCTTTCCGTTAAAGATCAGCCAAAGCCGTCGCCCTCCCGAGCCTCTGGTTGTTATAATAATAATTATAATTATAAACGGAGAAGAGTGAAGGAGCTTGTATTTACATTAAACAAAACGCTCCCAAAAAGGGTCAMTAAAAAGTCTGCCTTGACCCCTCTCTCTCCGGTTTAACAAAGAAGRAAAATATTGTATCAAAAGTGAAGTGAATGGGGAAGGCGGAGAAGAGAAACAGCTTTTCCTCTCTTCAGCTGGAAAGRGGGGAGAAATGTTTGAATATTTCCGTTTCTTTTGAGAAGCGGGGCAGCCCCGGGCAGGGCTGAATGGGAAAGTCTTGTAAGCGGGCTGGGAGGCTGTCAAACTGCTCAAAGTAATCACTGCTAATGAAGGGGTCTCCAGCCCTCCCTGGGACAAAGGATGCTTACGAGTGCTCGCCGGGACTGAATACCTAATAAGTTTGCAAGGGGGAAAAATGAGTGAGCTGTCCA